GTTAATCCAACAAAAATGAATCATCCAATCTTTTGATTATTAAATATATTTGCAATATCCCTTTTATAAATGAATTATTGTTGTTGTAATCGAATTACTTTGTTTTAATTGATTTATAAGTGACCATTTTAGATTCTCAAAAAAATAATAAATCTCATATTTTTCTAGAGGATGTTAAATTTATTTGTCATAAAAGTTCATTAACAAATATTTACCACCCTCAATGATTGTGTCAATTAATTCACTTGTTGGTGATAATTATGTAACAGAATTTGCCACTTGACATAAGAAGGACAACAATAGTTCTTATCCTATCTCAGAATTAGTTCGAAGGTGGGTGATACAAGTTTTTATAATTTAAAGCTCAAAATCTACACCTGTTATCCATATTTTAGAGGATTCAACTTTAATTTATTCTTCAGTTTCAGATATTGTATTTAATAATGATTATTACAATTCAAATTAAATGTATCTATCTTCATTTTTTAATTAACTTGAGAATATTACTCTAAGTAAATCATTGATAATTTGTAATAAAGAATGAAACAGAAACCCTGATAGTTTAACGTAAACAGAAAGCTGTTTAATTAATCTTTCAACAGATTTCTCTATTAATTCATAGTTTATAGAATTGAGTAATTGATCATTACACAACACTTAGAAATATTCTTTATGATTGAAAAACCATTGGAATGCTATAAGTATTTCATCTTGATATATTTTATCTTAATACAGATTGGACTTTTCAACAATCATAATTGTAAACTTTTCTAAATTGGCGGCAAAGTTTAAAGGAATTATAGCATTTTTTGCTTTAAACTATAATGTATTTGTAGTTTTTTATATAGCACATCCTCCTCCCCTTAATTAATATGATGTATCCAAAAATGTAGGGAAGTAATAGAGTTCATTACTAATATCAAATATTTTTTCTCTTTGAAATAGTTTCATTTTAATGTTTTGACCATCATATTCTTCAACTGATTAGTTTTTTAGCTATATTTAAAAATTGCACATAACTTATGCAAATAATAAAAATTTATTTTAATGATTGAATATAACAGGACTTTTGTAAACTAATTCATACAAGAATCAATCACTATTCTTTTCACTCAAACTTTATTGAATGGTTTGAATTCTGTAGAAAAATAAAAAATTTAGATTTCATTTTGATTATCTATATTATTTATCTCTAAAAATCTTTGAGGTTGAATAATGAAAAATATTTGGTGATATACTATATTTTTAGAAAATATCAACAATATCACTATTTGAATGAAATTAGTGTGTTATTAATTCAATAAAGGAATCTTTAGGTTTCTGCATAAAGTGAATTAAACTTATAAATTTATAAACACATATTTAAAAAATTATAATATTTTATTTAGCATGTATTTATTGTATTGTAAATATTTAAATGCGTAAATACTTTATATTTTGAAGAAATTACGTTTTTATGTTTTAGTTAAATATTGTTATAATTATAATTAAAATATCATAAATTTAGTGTTAAATTTTTTTGGTTTTTACAAAATTGAGTTTTTTCATACAATTTTAATTAAGTTTGGAACTAACAAAATAATCTCAAATCTATTTTAAGTAATATAATTTAAACAAACAATAATGATATGACAGTTTTTTGGTATGATTTGAATTCTCTTAGAATAAATTTCTGTTAAAATAAGTTAAATTTTCTTTCTAAAATTGAAATTAAATAAATTAAACTTAAGTTCAAGGCTAGTTGATGATTTTGTCTTTGTATGAGTAGAAAAATTAATAATATTTTTTCATAATATGTTAATTTAGGCCTTTTTCAGACTTTTCTTTTATTTCAAGATATTTTTCTTTAACTTCAAAACCTAAAGAAAAAAAATTGTAATATCATTGACCATCATCACAATGACACTTCTTCCAAGTAAACTATACATAAAAAAAATATCCCCAATTAGGAAGATATACTATTTTATTACAATATTATTCAATAATTTTTTATTATTAAATCCTTCCTTCATTTGATTTTAAAAACGATTTTCAAAATGAAAATCATTTATGTCTTCTTCAACTTTTATTTTAAGTAAACTATTTAGAGATCTCTTTAATTAATGCTTTAGTTCATCCATCTGTACATTAGTTGAATTTAAAATAGTGATTATGGTAAACTTGAATTAGGATCAAATATCATTAAAAACTATATCAGGAGTATTTTAATTTAATTTAAGGATCAGTATGATTGATTACCAATCCAACTTTTCCCCACTTAATAACTTTTCATTTTACAAATTTAAACCTTAAAGATGCTACATTATCCAAATTATGCTTAATATAAGACTTCCATAATTTAGTCATATTTCTTATAAGAAAAATGTTATTGAGGTAATATGAGTTGGTAAAATATTTAACTCTAAGTTTAAGTCTCATACAAACTGGATAAATATTTTTTTTATACATTAGCTTGAATATGAATTTAGTTATTGCAATATCATCAGCTTATGAAATTACATCATATTTATCAGATAATTGAATTTAGAGTATTTGGTTTTTTTTCATTCTAATCCTTGTATATAGATATTAACATTATTTTTCATCAATAAATTCGTCAAAAATCTCAAATAGAAAAGGAGCTAAAAGACAATCTTGATGTAGAGAATGAAAAATATACCCATTTCTTCTGACTTTGCTGAATACATTTGATAACTATCCATTATGGATATGTATTTTTTTACTTTTATAATTCCTTTACATCAATTTAAAAAAAAAAATTTGCTTTTGAATTATTTAAAATAAATTTTGGGTAATTTTTTTAACAAGTTGATTCGTTTTTAAAGTCTTAAGGGGTATTTTTTGCCAAGATATAAATTAATTTAGTTAAAATGATCTTGAAGGTAACATTGAATATATTCATAATCTCAGTGATTTATCAATGATTATTATATAGAGATATTGAAAATTATTGTTGAAAGTTGCTTTTTGATGTATGTAATAAATTACATAGAGCTTAAGTAAATCAGTATTTAAGATTATTAGATGGTTGTTAGGGATGATCTTAAACCTTTCAATAATATCATACTTTTAATATCAAATTGACAAATAATAATAAAAGGTAATGAAAATATTACCAAGAATAGAGTAATATTAAAATTATTCAATCCTTTGTTTTAACTATTTTTGTAATTTATATTAATTCTAGGATTAACTCTATTTTTTTTTTAANAATAATATTTTTTCATAATATGTTAATTTAGGCCTTTTTCAGACTTTTCTTTTATTTCAAGATATTTTTCTTTAACTTCAAAACCTAAAGAAAAAAAATTGTAATATCATTGACCATCATCACAATGACACTTCTTCCAAGTAAACTATACATAAAAAAAATATCCCCAATTAGGAAGATATACTATTTTATTACAATATTATTCAATAATTTTTTATTATTAAATCCTTCCTTCATTTGATTTTAAAAACGATTTTCAAAATGAAAATCATTTATGTCTTCTTCAACTTTTATTTTAAGTAAACTATTTAGAGATCTCTTTAATTAATGCTTTAGTTCATCCATCTGTACATTAGTTGAATTTAAAATAGTGATTATGGTAAACTTGAATTAGGATCAAATATCATTAAAAACTATATCAGGAGTATTTTAATTTAATTTAAGGATCAGTATGATTGATTACCAATCCAACTTTTCCCCACTTAATAACTTTTCATTTTACAAATTTAAACCTTAAAGATGCTACATTATCCAAATTATGCTTAATATAAGACTTCCATAATTTAGTCATATTTCTTATAAGAAAAATGTTATTGAGGTAATATGAGTTGGTAAAATATTTAACTCTAAGTTTAAGTCTCATACAAACTGGATAAATATTTTTTTTATACATTAGCTTGAATATGAATTTAGTTATTGCAATATCATCAGCTTATGAAATTACATCATATTTATCAGATAATTGAATTTAGAGTATTTGGTTTTTTTTCATTCTAATCCTTGTATATAGATATTAACATTATTTTTCATCAATAAATTCGTCAAAAATCTCAAATAGAAAAGGAGCTAAAAGACAATCTTGATGTAGAGAATGAAAAATATACCCATTTCTTCTGACTTTGCTGAATACATTTGATAACTATCCATTATGGATATGTATTTTTTTACTTTTATAATTCCTTTACATCAATTTAAAAAAAAAAATTTGCTTTTGAATTATTTAAAATAAATTTTGGGTAATTTTTTTAACAAGTTGATTCGTTTTTAAAGTCTTAAGGGGTATTTTTTGCCAAGATATAAATTAATTTAGTTAAAATGATCTTGAAGGTAACATTGAATATATAGTTCTGACTCTTTTAAAAGCTGTATTCATAATCTCAGTGATTTATCAATGATTATTATATAGAGATATTGAAAATTATTGTTGAAAGTTGCTTTTTGATGTATGTAATAAATTACATAGAGCTTAAGTAAATCAGTATTTAAGATTATTAGATGGTTGTTAGGGATGATCTTAAACCTTTCAATAATATCATACTTTTAATATCAAATTGACAAATAATAATAAAAGGTAATGAAAATATTACCAAGAATAGAGTAATATTAAAATTATTCAATCCTTTGTTTTAACTATTTTTGTAATTTATATTAATTCTAGGATTAACTCTATTTTTTTTTTAATTCTTGATGTATCTTTTTCTTATATTTTTTATTTGTTATTTAACTATTAATAATAATTTTAATTCTAATCCTGTGCTTACTGTTTTCTGATTAGGTATTAATTTAATGGAGTATCATTTAAAATTAAATCTCTATCAATATTAATTAATAACAGTTTTTAAATATTTAAATATATATTCCCTATAATATACTGAATTGTAATAAATCTTTGTAATAAGAACTTACCTAATTTAAGAAGTGAAGAGAAAGAGTGGAATTTATAAAGAAATAATTAAAAAAAATATTAGAAATTGAATGTAATTAGAAGTGTAGTTGATAATAATCAAATTCATTTTTGCTTTAAGTCTTCTAAAAAGAAACTTCCTTTAGATTTAAATAAAGGTTTTAAATCTTTTCCTTAATAGTTGATAAATTCTCCTTAAAAAATATATGTTCCTTATGCTTTCAATATTATTTCTTATGATATAACAAGAATTGAATATTTAAAGACTAAATAAATAATAAAATAAATACCTGGTGAAGGAATTTTCTAAAATTGTGGTGATTAAAATTATTTAAGAATATCTTTATAACCTTTGTCAGTTAGTAAAATTTCTTTACTTTTATTGACATCCCATAGACGGATAGACGTATCATCACTACCAGAAGCTAATATATTTCCATCAGGAGAAAAACAGACTGAGGAGACAATACTAGTATGGCCATCTAATTTGGCTGTTTATTATTCTGTTTTGACATCCCATAGACGGATAGACTTATCATCACTACCAGAAGCTAATATATTTCCATCAGGAGAGAAACAGACTGAGTAGACAATACTAGTATGACCATCTAATTTGGCTGTTTATTATTCTGTTTTGACATCCCATAGACGGATAGACTTATCATCACTACCAGAAGCTAATGTATTTCCATCAGGAGAGAAACAGACTGAGTTAACATAATTACTATGACCATCTAATTTGGCTTTTTATTATCCTGTTTTGACATCCCATAGACGGATAGACTTATCATCACTACCAGAAGCTAATGTATTTCCATCAGGAGAGAAACAGACTGAGTTAACATAATTACTATGACCATCTAATTTGGCTTTTTATTATCCTGTTTTGACATCCCATAGACGGATAGACTTATCATCACTACCAGAAGCTAATGTATTTCCATCAGGAGAGAAACAGACTGAGTTAACATAATTACTATGACCATCTAATTTGGCTTTTTATTATCCTGTTTTGACATCCCATAGACGGATAGACTTATCATCACTACCAGAAGCTAATGTATTTCCATCAGGAGAGAAACAGACTGACCAGACATAATTACTATGACCATCTAATTTGGCTTTTTATTATCCTGTTTTGACATCCCATAGACGGATAGACTTATCATCACTACCAGAAGCTAATGTATTTCCATCAGGAGAGAAACAGACTGAATAGACATAATTACTATGACCATCTAATTTGGCTTTTTATTATCCTGTTTTGACATCCCATAGACGGATAGACTTATCATCACTACCAGAAGCTAATGTATTTCCATCAGGAGAGAAACAGACTGAGTAGACAATACTAGTATGACCATCTAATTTGGCTGTTTATTATTCTGTTTTGACATCCCATAGACGGATAGACTTATCATCACTACCAGAAGCTAATATATTTCCATCAGGAGAGAAACAGACTGAGTAGACAATACTAGTATGACCATCTAATTTGGCTGTTTATTATTCTGTTTTGACATCCCATAGACGGATAGACTTATCATCACTACCAGAAGCTATTATATTTCCACCAGGAGAGAAACAGACTGACCAGACAGCGCTAGTATGGCCATCCAATTTGGCTGTTTATTATCCTGTTTTGATATTCCATAGACGGATAGACTTATCATGACTACCAGAAGTTAATGCATTTCCATCAGGAGAGAAACAGACTGAGTAGACAGCGCTAGTATGGCCATCCAATTTGGCTGTTTATTATCCTGTTTTGACATCCCACAGACGGACAGAACTATCATCACTACCAGAAGCTAATGTATTTCCATCAGGAGAGAAACAGACTGACCAGACAGCGCTAGTATGGCCATCCAATTTGGCTGTTTATTATCCTGTTTTGACATCCCACAGACGGACAGAACTATCATCACTACCAGAAGCTAATGTATTTCCATCAGGAGAGAAACAGACTGAGTATACATAATGAGTATGACCATCCAATTTGGCTTTTTACTATCCTGTTTTGACATCCCAAAGACGGATAGACTTATCATGACTACCAGAAGTTAATGCATTTCCATCAGGAGAGAAATAAACTGAGTTGACTTTATGAATATGACCATCTGATTTGGCTGTTTATTATTCTGTTTTGACATCCCACAGACGGATAGACATATCATTACTACCAGATGCTAATATATTTTCATCAGGAGAGAAACAGACTGACCAGACAGCGCTAGTATGACCATCAAATTTGGCTTTTTATTATCCTGTTTTGACATCCCAAAGACGGATAGAGTTATCACTACTACCAGAGGCTAATGTATTTCCATCGAGAGAGAAACAGACTGACCAGACAGCGCTAGTATGACCATCAAATTTGGCTTTTTATTATCCTGTTTTGACATCCCAAAGACGGATATAGTTATCACTACTACCAGATGCTAATATATTTCCATCAGGAGAGAAACAGACTGAAAAGACGTATCCAATTAAACTATCTAATTTGGCTTTTTATTATCCTGTTTTGACATCCCATAGACGGATAGAGGTATCCCAACTACCAGATGCTAATATATTTCCATCAGGAGAGAAATAGACTGAGTTGACTTAATATTAATGACCATCTAATTTGGCTTTTTATTATCCTGTTTTGACATCCCATAAACGGATAGAGTTATCAGTACTACCAGAAGCTAATGTATTTCCATCTGAAGAGAAACAGACTGATTAGACCTTGTCTTTATGACCATTTAATTTGGCTATTTTTTTCTTTGTCTTAACATCCCATAGATAAATAGACTTATTATAACTACCAGAAGCTAATATATTTCCATCAGGAGAGAAACAGATAGATTAGACCCAAATAGTATGACCATCCAATTTGGCTTTTAATTATCCTGTTTTGACATCCCAAAGACAAATAGACTTATCACTACTACCAGAAGCTAAAGTACTTCCATCAGGTGAGAAACAAACTGATCTAACATAATTACTATGACCGTGTAATTTATTTAATTCATGGATTCTTAAGTTTTTCCATTTACAATTAAATAATAATGCTCCATTCAAATTTATTCCACTTATGTTGACATTATTAAATTAGGATCCACTAAAATTGCACTGAAAAAAATTAACTCCTACTAAAGAAGTATTTTAGATCTTAATATTTTCAAAATTTTTGTTTCTTAGGTCTGCATTCAACTAAACTAATATATATAATGAATTAGACCCACATTGTATAAAATTTTCATCTATGGATGTGAGTTGAACTAAAAATTACAAAAATTTAATGATCCTTCTATTATCCTTGATGCTTTAAATTAGACTTAGTGTTGATTTTTCAATTTCTTTAGAGGAAAAGTCTTTTTAATTAAAGTCATGATCGTTTAATTTTTTTAATACATCTGTAATTAATTTCATGCCATTTCCAAAAACAGACAATCTCTATTCTGAATTAGCTGGAGTGAAATTCCCAGCTTGTTGTAAAATTTATTCTTCTGATTGTCTCTAATTCTTAATATCTGATAGAAATCCAATGCAGTCATTAACTTTTTTCTTTCTTAATATTTCTAATATAACCCCAAAGATTTCTTCATTCACATCTTTAACTTAAGCCAAGATGTTGGCTAGAGCTTGCTTCTCTTAAAAAGAGCCCTGCATTTTCTTTTTATTTTTAATATTAAATTTTTATTACTCTGGTTTTAAGTTATATACTGCAAAATCTATAATAATATCTTGTGTATTTTTTTTAAATTAGAAGCTTAGACTTTGTGGAGATTTTGAATTGATGATAGAAAAGGTAGAATATTCTATAGAGAAATCATTTCAACATTTGCATAAATTGATTCTTGAATAATATTAAATATCTTTACATTTAATTAAATATTTTTATTTTAATACATTTAGATGAGTGAAATCATGAATAAGAGAGTTTAAAGTTTAATAAGTAGATTTTTTCTTGTTTTAGTATTTTTTTGAATGGCATTCTTCTCTCCCTTTACCTCCAATAGCATAGGGGTTTGGCTACTCCTTATTTCACCTGAGGTTATAGAGAAGAGAAAAAGTAGATGAGGAGGAATAAGCTTAAGGAGAAGATGAAGAGGAGAAAATGAGGAATTAAAATTATCCACGGAATATAAAAATTTTATTAATTAAGAAGATGTAATTTCTAAATTAAACAATAATAATTTATGGAAAAATTGTATCATTCAATCATGTTTATAAAATTTAGTTTCTAATAAAGGATAACAAAATATTTATAAAGCTTTATTATTAAAGTTATTGAAAAAATTGAAAATTATTGAATAATCAATTAACTATAATTTTGTAAGTTTCAACATAAATTTACCTATTTATGTGAACCCAAAGATAAGAATCATTGATTTTCTACTTTTTATATATTTAGTTAGTTCTGTAGATTTCTTATCATATTAGAAGGGGTTAATTCATTAATAAAGGTGAAAAACTAAAGTATTTTACCACTATCATTTATGGAGGCATATAATCATACAAATTTGTAATTCTTTTTTTTCTTCAAACTTTAAATATAAATTTTGGGTAATTTCTTGATTTATTTATTTAATTGTAAAATTTAACTAGTTGATGAGTTTTTAAAGTCTAAAGGAGTATTTTTTGGTCTAGATTTAAATAATTTTCGCTAGAATCATGTTGAAGGTTAAAGTGATTA